AATCCTTAACATGAAAGGTCCTAGTTATTCCCTGTAAATAATTCTAATGGATATATTGCATATGTGTAACTGTTATTCTGTTAATCATCTCCGTTACCATAGAGAATATATAGCTCGATCTAGCCAAATATGCCCCTTAGTCGATTCTATATACTATAAGATCTTGAGATAATACATTTGGAATTTCATAATTTATAATTTCCACAAAATATATATAAAACGATATTTTCTTGAATAGAATTAAAAAAAAGAGTAGTTCACTTTACGGATATCTTATACCTAACTTATCTAACAAATAAATTAAAACATATTTTTTTGTGGCCCACACTCCAACTATATTTATGCATTAAAAACCCCATCAAGATCGGACTTTGAATACATTTGATGGCAGCTAGATGCTGCGTGCAGGGTATATTTCAGTTGCGTACTTTTGACTCGTGCTACTCCTAGTTGTTGTCGTTGGTCAGAACTCATGTTACGAGAACGCCCAGCGGGTACCTACACCAACTGCCTTTCTCTCACTCTCTCGCTCTTGCATTTTTCTCTTTCTAATGTGCTAGCCAGACTCAGACTCGCGCGCCATTTGCTGCAAGTTCCGTTTCCGTTTTGTGGGTGGGTCAATGGGGTGCCTGTTGCTTATGTGTGTGTGTGTGCGTGTGTGTGTGTGTGTTGGTGTTTGTGAATGGAAACTACTCAGCATAGCAGGCTTCTGAAAATTTACGAGTTTGCCACACGCTGCATTCCTCAAATTACCGACACGCATATTTTATATTGGGTCCGCATTAAAGTTCAGCACATTCACATTGCACACTGCAGTTCGCTCTGTTCGCAGCTATCTCTTGCAATTTGCAGCGCTTTTAATTAACGGAAATTTATGCATAATGCTCCACCCATTTGTCGCCCAAAGCCTTGGACATCCAACTATCCAACTATCCAACTACACAACCCACCCACACAAACTCACACAGCCCCGCACGCTTTGCCGGCAAGTTATGAGCCGTCAGCGAAATGCGAAAATTGCAAATGGAAAACCTAAAAAAAAATTAATCTATAAATTTTTCTATGAAGCGGGCATTTTTGAAATAAAAGCATCAGTTGATTTATAAAATCAAAGAATAGAAAATTATCTGGCGGAAAAACTGTTAAAGCTACGACGACAAAATTTTTGGGCTTACAAATTTAACTTTTGATTTTTTCTAGTTTAAGAAATATCTATTTTAGAAATATATTCTATATGTTGAAGAAAAGTAGCACAGGGAAAAAAGGCTCATTTAAAAAGCAATCAAAACAATTTAAAATCTACCTAATATTTATTTGTTTTTTTTTTTTTAAACTTAGGTAAGGATATTTTTTATTGAATATAAAAAGACAACCATTATAAAAATGGGATAAAATGGCCTTTAAAATATTTTTTAGTTCAATCTTATAGAGTTAGAAAAATAGTCCTTACATAGTTTAAAAACGCATTTATCACGCGTTATAAATATATATAAATACCTAAATCAAAATAAGATTCAGACAGCTACCAAAAAAACTTTATTACAGTCAAAGAGATATATATTTATGTAAATATATATAAAATATATACTTTACTAAATCAGTAATCAATAAATATTTGATACTGTCGAGCTGATATAAAATAAACTCGTACGGTTTAACAACAGACACAACGATTAAATTTATATATATCAATTATTGAAATAAAAAAACATTTTAAATAATAAAATATTATCTTGTCAGATTTTTACTTAACACATTTCTCTATAATACAAATTAAAAAAATATAAATGAAAGTAAATAAAAGCAAAATTATTAAATGTATAAGAAATTAATTAGTTAAAAAAAAAATATTAATTATATATTAAAGAAAAACAAATTATTTTATGGCATCATATTTTTTTATATATGCTACTATATAAATAATATTTTGCTAGTACATATAAACATTTATAAGGCTTAAAAAACTAAAAACAATTATATTTTCACAATTTTTGCATAACTGTAACTAAAAATAAGTCTCCGCCGAAGTTTCTCTCCCCATAATAAAATCGTTGCTTTCAGGATTTCTTCGGAAACTCACTGACCATTCCCAGCTATGAGTAGGGGCATATCTTCCCAGACAGCCTATAAATTTCCCCCAGATGTATCTAGTATACATTTATTTACTTTTTTCCTATATATTGCATTTTCTTAAATAATATAGTAAATTAAGATTATGTTATAAAAAATGATGTATTCTAATTAGGCTTTTAGCCTTCAATGTTCATATACTTAATTATTAAATAATTAGGAAGTCACTCGTTTTGTCGACCATTAATAAATAAATAATATTCATTTAAAATGAGTTCATAAATAATAGCTTAAAGTATGGACTGACATCATCAGCTAATTAAGCCATTTATTATAATATTTTACTTAAAAAAAATCCAAATTATTTTTATGACATAAATTTCTATTGAGTTTTCCACATGACAACAACAATTCCGATGCGCCCAAAATAATGTATTTCAATTATCAGCTGTCAATTATGCGACATTTCTCAGATGAAGGCCGGCAACAAGTTGCACACGAAAATAAAAATAAATAGAATTAAATAGATGGCGTGAGAAATGGCCTTATGAATGGACACAAAAAAAGAATCTCCAACCAAAATTTTCAATTTGTTTGTTGTTTAAGCTGCTTGAAAATAGCTAAAAGAAAACTGACTGGGCTGGTGGAGGAGGGTCATAAAAACTTTTCATTGTTGCCACAACAGAAGCTTAGTGGTGGTTAGAGGGGAGGTGGCGGCGTCTGTTTGTGGGGCATAAGTTGCAGCAGCCTCAACAGGTGTTGCGGGACCACTCGATGAATGGAGGCGTAAATCTTGCATTAAGCACACTTCGTTAAAGGACCTCAAAACATTTACGAGCTGCAGGCCAAAAGTGCCGGCTTTAAAAGCTGCCAACTGCGCAGACGCTGCAACATGTGGCAAGCAAAATGGTCAAGAGAACGCACATGTTGTTAGTTGCGGCAACGATGTGAACGTTAACTTTTTAGTCGTAATTATTTTTATAATTTAATTACTTTTTAATTTAATTTAATTTCTTTTAAATTTATTTAAAATAATTTGTATTTTTAAATCGCACTTTTATTATTCTTTTTTTTTTGTGTAATAGTGTAGTTATAATGATTTATATTAATTATATTAAAGCTTTTTCGAGATTCTTAATGTATAACATATATCCGAATAATATATAAGCAATATCTCATCTACATCGGTCTACCATTTCATATAGTTGCTATAACAATAGGACATTTTTCGTAGTTTCCCTATGCTGCTTATATATAAGCAATATCTTATTATCGTCGGTCTGCCAATACATATAGCTGACATAGGGCTAAAATTAAGTTTTTTTATGAAAAACTTTTTTTTTGTTTTCCAAATATTTCGACTCTTCATTATACGCAATTCTCTTAAAACCTATAGCATACATAGAAAACACCGGGCGAAAATTGTATAAATAAATAAAACTAATAATAAATAATTATAATAGTAACATTAATACTTATTATTTAATATTCTTCTATATATATTAACAAGCTAATATAACCCAGCCTTGCCCGTGGCACGTATAAAATAAATTTTCTCAAAAAGCTTTGAAATTAAATTGCAATTGAACTAGTATGAAATTGAAATAGTATGAAAAATCATTTGAGACGTGTTTCTCACTTTTCGCAGAATTCAAACTTCTTCGGGGGGAATGCGATTTAAAGATTTTTTGGGTGGCGTTTTAAGTTGTGTCCGATTTGCTTCAAACTTATTTTTAAAGCTCTTCATAAGAACTTAATAAGTACGTATTTCAGCGATTTGGAAAATTCCACCCGCAACAGTGGTAAATTGGCGGAAAACGGTTGTATGAAAGTTTTTTGTTTACCATCCGATCGGCCCCAAACTCATTTTCAAAGATCTATATTCAAATTCATTTGAGGGGTGTTTCACACTTTTTGAAAAATCCATTCTTCCTTGGTGGAAATGGAGGTCAAAGATTTGGTGGGTGACGTTTCGCACTCAAATTCATTTCCAGAGATCTATTAGAAAAATCATTTGAGACGTGTTTCACACTTTTCGCAGAATTCAAACTTCTTCGTGGGGAATGCGATTTAAAGATTTTTTGTGCGAAGTTTTAAGTTGTGTCCGATTTGCTTCAAACTTATTTTCAAAGCTCTCAATAAGAACTTAATGAATACGTATTTCGACGATTTGGAAAATTCCACCCGCAACAGTGGTAAATTGGCGGAAAACGGTTGTATGAAAGTTTTTTGTTTACCATCCGATCGGCCCCAAACTCATTTTCAAAGATCTATATTCAAATTCATTTGAGGGGTGTTTCACACTTTTTGAAAAATCCATCCCTCCTTGGTGCAAATGGGGGTCGAAGATTTGGTGGATGACGTTTTGTGTTCAAATTTATTTCCAAAGATCTATAAGAAAAATCATTAGAGACGTGTTTCACATTTCTCGCAAAATCTAAACTCCTTCGGTGGAAAATGCATTTTTAAGATTTTTTTGGTGAATTTTAAGAGTTTGTTTGATTCCCGTCCGATCAGTTTCAAAATCATTTTCAAAGCTTTTTTGATTTTATAACATACGTGCCACGGGCAAGGCCGGGTTATACCCGCTAGTAATATATATATGAGTACAAAAAAAAAAAAAAAATAACTCGTTCTTTTTAAGGTGCTATTTATTTTATATATCTCATAGAATATTTAAATAGTTCTCACTTTGCTTTAAATTTTAATAAAAAGTTACATTGTCAATTGTTTCTATTTAAAAAAAAAAGAATATAGAGGAAATACAAAATCAGCAATGGCTCTTAGCAACATTTAATGTTGCTGGCAACATAGAAATATGTTGCCGACGCAGTTGTTGCTGCTGCCCGCTGTTTCTGTTGCCGCTGTTGTTGCTGTTGTTGTTGCCGCTGTGTGCGAGGCTCCTCGAAATCGGAAAAAAACAACAGTTGCGATTTCAGTACGCTTTGTGCGTTCGACGCGTGCGGTTCATATTGACGGACAACTGGCTAAAAAGCATATAAAGCCAATTGGCCTAAGCTAAATTCTGGCCAAACGGATAACTTGGCTAAGTGTTGTGAGTGTGTGTCTGTGTGTGTGTGTTACTGTTGTTGTTGTGCGAAAAGGTGCCGCAAGTTTTGTAGGCGCGTGAGCTCTCGTTACGCATAAATTACATTTTTGACCGAGTTTCAGTTATAACAGATCAGCAGCTGCAGCAGCGGCAATAACAACAACAACAACCAGGCGTGCAAATTGTTGCAAGGAGTCGCCAACAGTTGTTGCAGCTTTCCTCTTGTTGTTGTTGCGTTTTGTTGTCGCTGCTGTTGCGGTTTTTATTGGCGTTAAAGGTCGTTTACTTTTTGGCGGCATCAACAACTTTTGTTGTTGTTTTGATTTTCATCTGCCTGTGTCATATGTGTGTGTACGTGTGAGTGTGCGTGTGTGTGTGTTTGTGTTTTTAAAACACACTTTCAATTTTCAATAAAAATCGCGCGCGCGCTGATCGATGACGTCGATTTCTGTTTGCATTACTCGTGACGATTTATGCCCAGAATCGTGTTTGTGATAGCCCATAAAAAATAATTTATATATATGCCACATACGTATATATGCCATATAAATACGTCCACAACTGACACACATATATGGCACGCGCATTGTGTTTTATATGGCCATTCATATTTGTTTATTCGCATTTTCGTTATGATTTCTTTATATCAAGTGTTAACTAAATTATATTCAATTATTTATTTATATTTTTATTGCGAGCTCAACCGAAAAATCGTTTTTTAATTTAGAGCAATTAATTTTGCAAGTGCAAAGCAAATAATCGTGCGTACATATGTTTTAACTGATAGCCAAAGGAAAAAATAACAACGAGCAGAGCAACAAACAGCACAACAAATTTGACATTGGGTTATATTGTAACAAGAGAATTGACATTAGCACAGAAAATAAAGAACAGTTAGCTGCGTCAAGCTGAAGCTTAAATACCCTAGGGTTAATTCGCTTCGAACAATATATATTCTATCAACATCTTTTTAGATATTATTTCTAGATAAGAGTTTAACCTAGTTAGCTATCTCTTCTTAATATATAGGTTCATCTAGGCAATCAAGAAATAAACCTTTTCTAAAAGGCGAAAAAATGATTAAGCTTCTTTGATATTAAAAACTTAAGAGACTAGCTCAATGGAGTTCTACGCCTAGGAACTGACGAGGGGTAAAATAAAAAGATAAAGTACTTACAAAAATTATTTTGTTAAAAATATAATATATTTAAAATAAAAATCCATTATATATAATATAATAAATATATTATGTGCAATTAAGTAAAATATATAACTACATATAAAATATTACTCTATTATATATAAAATATTATAAAAAATAAAAAAATAATAATAAAAACGCATTATACGTGCATATAATTAAAAAATAAAATTACATTACTTATAAACAGTAATAATTAAAAATAATATGTGCATATAACAAATTACTTTATTATAAACAATTAAAAAACTAAATAAAAAAAAACAACAATAAATAAAAATTATATTTGCTTTAAAGAAAAATAAATAATAATTAAAAAATAGCTTTATTATATATAATAAAAAAATAAATATTATGTACATTTATAATATATATAATATATAATAATAAATTTATATTGAAAAAAAGTTAAAAGAAAAAATAAGATAAAAAATAATAAATAAAATAAATATTATGTGCATTTAAGTAAAACAATTAACAAAGTAACTACATCATATATGGAAAATATATATATTATGTGCATTTGAGTACTATGTTTAAAAACATTTAGAAACGAAAATTAAAAAAAAAAGAAAATAATAATAATTCTATGTGTACACACATTTTACACAATAATATATGTAAAATGTATTGGAAATCATTTGATTGAAACATTATAGAAAATAATAAAAATATGTATTAATATATTTGTCAAGTGATAAATGGAACAAGAGTTTAAAAATCAAATACGTTATGATTCTTTTTGAAAAAAAATCGGCACTCAAAATATATTGCAAGCCTTAAAAAGACTCATACAATATAAGTAAGACCTCATAAACTAGCAGTCAATTTTTTGTTTTTTGTATATGATTAAGTGCAGCCAGACTTAATTTACAATGAGACCAACAAAAGAAAAAACCGCTTAAAATGTCAATGCACCCAAATTGAGACTTGGTAGCCAATTGGCAAAAAAAAAAAGTGAAGATCTACCGTGGAGCACGCCCCGATTGCAATGTCCAAAGCAAGTAATTATGTATGCGAATGTGGTAGCAAAATGTTCATAACACTTTGGCTGGAACCAAAAAAGAAGAAGAAATCAAATATCAAATATATAAAGAAAAAGAGACTCCGAAATCTCAGGCATTCCATTACGATTGACAAGTGTCCAAGTGTCCGGAAAGCTGAAGGTTCGAGCTCCAGCCACCCACTGACTAAGTGGCGCGTGTTTGGATTTTGATTTAGGCCCGCTGAGAGCTGAGAAATTCCCCCAACTTGTTTTATTTTCGTTTTTTCCCTCTGAGGTGGCACCTTTCGTGCATTTTTAATTTAGACCCTGAGAGCGTGCACAGACATCGACTGCGTATTTTAAGTTTTTTCGCTTCAATTTGTAATCCATCAAGAAACCTTTTTCTTGTTTTTTTTTTTTAAACACTCGCTCGATTCGCTTTGGGGCGTCATCAATTTTGGCAAATGCTGAGCAGCTGCAAAATTGCAGCCAATTGTAAAAAGAGTATAGAATGAAAAATTAAGCCTAAGTGCATTTCCAAGGCGATCCGGACCACAGCGTTGACTATGTGAATTGTTTAACGAGCTTTAGAGGAGATGGTGGTGTCAGCGCAGGGAGCGCGGGGCTAACGATGACGACAGTTTATAAATATTACGCACAATCAACTAATTTTCATTATAAACATTAACTATGTGCTTCAAAGTCGAATTTAAAATGCTCTTTCGGGCATTATAATGTGCTGGCCTATGGAACACTTTTTGAATGATAATTTGGAAATGATCTGCTGCTGCTTGAGTTGAAATAAAGAAATGATTACAATTCCCTAGTCAATGATTCAGAGTGTAAGCTGAGTGTAACCATGGAGCTGAGATTGGCCTAATTAAATTTTTATTATAATTGAAAGTTTAAGTAACAGAAACTTAACTTAGATTAGTATACTCTAGCAAATCTTCTGATAAGCAGTTAGAATATTTGTATAAAATAGCTAAAGCTTGTGTAATTGTCGAGTTACTAAAATTTAATTTACGTGCTGCTGAAGGAACTCTTTAAATAATTCAAAGGAGTTTTATAAAATATTAAATAGCTGCACTTGAACATAAATTAAGCGTGGTTTGCCAATGCTTGCTCTCTTAGTTCTCGAGTTATTATAGGTAGTCTTCAAATTTTTTATCATTATTAAAACAGTCAATGCCAAAATTTAAATCATTAACCAAATATTTAACATATTTATAATTCCCGATTTAATTTGATTAGCCGACTTTATGAAATTCAGCCATAGCTCGAGTAATATTAAAGAGAGGCAAATAAATAAAGGAATTAAGCATGGCTTACTAAGGTTTAGACTTGTAGTTTTTGAGCTTATATATATTAAGGAAGTCGTCGAGTTTTTGATCATTTTTAAATATGGCAATCAGCTAACACATATTTCCAATCGCATTTTTCTTTAGATTTCCGATATAATTGATTAATTTTTAAAGACTTTATATAAAATACATTTAAAAATATCCCAAGCTTAGTTGATGCCAACTTTGCTAACTGGAACTGCTGTAGATCCCTAATTATAAAAGTCAGTTTTTGGCGTAAGGCACGCCAGACAACTTGTTTTGTCATCCGTCGCATTACAACTTAATCTCGCTCGAAATCCGTGATAATCCGCCTTGATTTAATAGCCTCGTTGAGCTGTCGGTTCGTGCAGCATCTGCTTGAATGAGCGAATCGCTGGATCCAATCGCTTGAAAGTGTATTTTTCGCAAAAAATGCAAACAAGTCTTGCGGCAATGCTCGGTTTTGGTAGCGCAAAAATAAACATTTTCATTAAAATAGCATATTTATTGAATGGCTGGCGACAATTCTTTGATATGATATGTGGTCCGACGATAGGCCCGTCCCGATATCTGTGATGTGGGCGTCGCATCGTCTGCGTCGGCTGCGGAAATCATTTACTTAATGCTCGGCAGAATTGCAACGCAATTGACACGATTTCACAAATATACAGGCCTATATAATATATTTGTTTGTATACATACATATATATCTTTTGTGTTGCCTTGGCTTTAATCAAAGCATCAGCAGCAGCAGCGGCAGCAACAGAGGAAGAGCTGAACAAGTTTTTAATGATGTTGCCACTTTGGCATAATTAGGGTGTATGGGCGAAGGAGTAGTGGAAGGGGGGGGAGGGGGGTAGCCTGGGGCGGGGCAACGAAAAATCGCTCAAGTTGAAAGCAAAACTTTTGAGCAAATGCAATTTGCGACACTTGCCGCAAATGGAAAATTTTCTGCTTCGTCTAGTGCCCGACTGTGCTTGCGAGCCAAAGGTGTCTGTCGTGGTGAATTTATTTTTCATTTGTTTAAAGTGTATTTCCGCTGTCTGATTGATTGGAAAAACAGCTAAGAAAAGTTATCTTAGCTGGCGAAAACTTGCAAGCTTCTTGAAATGGGTTTTAACGCTCGCATACAAAATCTCAATTTTTGAGCGATTGTTCCTATATGAGCTGTGTGATATATAACCTGATGCGCAGCAAATTTAAGTCATATACTTATATAAAGATATCTAAAGAATTTCATTTATGAACAAGAATTCTATTTATTGGGAGAAGAACATTTTATTGGTATAGATTAACATATCCAAAGAATTCCATTCGTAAGCGATAGTTCAATTCGGAGCTAGAATATAGAATAGACACATTTTGATAAGATTATAAAAATGTATATTATTTTGTGCATACTGACGCTTAAATTTGTAGATTGATTTTTATACCCTGAACCCATTGAAAATGGGTAAAAAGGGTATAATGTATTTGTGCATATGTATGTAACAGG